CCGTGCGGTGACCTCGGTACCCCAAAAGACCTCACCGCACGGTCCGTCAACGCACGGTTTTGGGACCCTGGAGGCCCCCGTCGCCCGAGACGTCCTCGGAGAACGACCCGGGTCCCAACACTGTGCGGTGACCCCTAATCCCCACCGGCTCACCGCACGGTGTGGTCACCGCACCGTTTGGGGGCCCCCGATAAAACCTCGGCCCGAGAGCCCACGCCGGAAAAAGTGAGTCCACCATCCTCGGTACGTCTTTGACTACCTACCAGACCACCCCAACCCAACCCGAAGACCCGAATTTGACCCGAATTTCGGGTTGGGGGGGGGTACGGATACCATGTGTTTTCTCAACGTTCCCCGACCCCCCCCACTGGAAATCGAGGATAAATTTGGGCCTTCGGGTTGGGTTGGGGTGGTTTGGTGGGTGGTGAGTCTTGGGGGAGCGCGTCTTGCTTCCGAGGGCTTCCGCAGGCCATCCGCCGGCGGAGCCGCGCCCGCTGTGCTTCCGCCTCCTCTCGCCGGCCCTCCGCAGAAGAAGACATTGAGCTGCTCGATCCGTCGATGCGAAGCCCATCCTGGAACGCCCAATTTGCCGTTGCAGTCGTAGTTTCTTGTGTGTACACCCTGCGAAATGCTTAAGAAATCATGGGTTAAGAAATTCATAGTCTCAGAATTTGAATAAAAACCCAGAACTTCGATTAGAATCATAGGATTTACATTGAAACATTAAGAATAATCGAGACTCTGGCCGAAAACTTAAGTTTTCTTAAGCATCGCCTAGGGTGTAAGCGTATGTTCTGCGTGCGTTCGCGCATGTCTGCGCATGCAACGCCTGTATGAAACTGCGCGCTTGTGGTGCGTTGTGACGCTCGCTTGTGCCAATGGGCCTGTGAAGGAGGACGACAGGCGAAGCCGAAACAGAGGACGAGATTGGGAGAGACGGAGGCTTGAAGAAATGATGACGAGGAGGGAACTATTGTTCCCTGCCGCTCCCCTCTGTTTCCATCCCTTTTCCTTTCTTTTCCTATGTGTCCCTCCCTTTTTCTTCCTTTCCTTCGCTTTTCCCTCTTTTTCCCTTCCTTCCTCTCCCGTTTTCCTCTGCTACCCTCCCTCCTCATTCCTTTCCCACCCTCTTCCCTATGTTTCCCTCACGTTTCCTTCATGTCCATCTCTTTCCCCTTTTAACTCCCTCCCGTGTCCTTCCTTTCCCTCCGGTGTCCTTCAATTCCTTCCTTTTCCCTCTGTTTCCTGTCCGCTTTTCCCTTCAATCGTCACTCCGTTTCCTCTCCATGTTCCCTCTCTGTCTCCTTCCATTTTCCTCCCTGTCGCTTCCGTTTTCCTCCCTGTTTCTTCTGATTCCCTCCCTTCTCCTTCCGCGCCTCTCCATTTTCCTTCCATTTCCATCCTGTTGTCCTCTCGTTTCCCTCCCTTTTCGGTCCGTTTCCCTCTCTCGTCCTGCTGTTTCAACTCATTTTCTTTGTGTCCCACCCTTTCCCTTCCGTTGCCCAACCCTTTCCTTCCGTTGCCCTCCCTTGTCCTCCCGCTTCTTCCCATTTATGTTTTTTCCCTCCCTCTTCCTTCCGTCTCCCTCTCGTTTCCTTCCGTTTCCCTCCCTTTCCTTCGGTGTCCTTTTCCCTCTCGCTTCCTTCCGTTTCCTTCCCTTTTCCTTCTGTATCCTTTTCCCTCTCTTTTCCTTCCCTTTCCTTCCGTGTCCTTTTCCCTCCCTTCCTTCGGTGTCCTGTTCCCTATCGTTTCCTTCTGGTTCCCTTCCGTCTCCCTTCCTTTTTCCTCTCGTGTCCTTCCGTTTCCCTCGCTGTTCCTCCCGTTCCCCTTTCATTTCCCTCTTGTTTCCTTCCGTTTCCCTTCCTTTCCCCTTCCGTTTCCTTTCGCTTCCTTCCCTTTTCCTGCCGTGTCATTTGCCCTCTCGTCTCCTTCCGTGTTCCTTACTTTTCCGTCGCGATGCCTTTTGCGTTTCCCCCTCGTTTCTTTCCACTTTCCTCCCTTTTCCTTCCGTTTCCCTTCCTTTTCCGTCTAGCGTCCTTCCTTTGCCCTCTCGTTTCCTTCCGATTCGCTGCCTTTTCCCTCTCGTTCCCTCCCGTTTCCATCCCCGTTCCTGGTGTATCCTTTTACGTCTCGTTTCCTTCCGTTTCCGCCTTTTTGTTTGCTTCCTTTTCCCCGCTGGTGAGGGGCAAGGGCGGCCGAGGGAATGACTCAACTCCAGAGTTAAGTGAGTCTGGGAAGCGGGGGGAAACACAAACAACAGACTTCACTGCAGAGGTAAGTCGGTTTGAGGCTGGTAAGAATGGAAGACCTGTGAACGATTTAATTCCGGAGTTAAATTATAATTACCGTGCTGATTTGAATGGTTTTCCTTGTTTTTCTTGATCCTTGAACTCGGATGTCTCTGGCTCCGTCGTCTTGGTCCCATCCGCATCGCCAGACGTCTCCAAACTTCTGGGTTGCTCGGGAGTCAGGGCCAGGAACTCGGGCACCAGCGGCAGACGCACGGTTTTAGAAAGAATACGCTCCAGCTCTCTTGCACATCTTTTAAAAAAAGTCGCTTACAGGAACGCGGGGAAGCAGCAACGCAACTCGAGTCAGCCGCTTGTCGATGACAGTGGGTTAATCGACTTCCCGCGCCATGGAATTACAGTCGCTGTCGTTGGCAAAGACGCCTATCTGTCGAGCCTGTCTATGATCTCGTGCATCCGACGTCTCATCTCGCTTACACCGTTGCTCATCTTCTCGATTACAAACTCCATGACGGAAAGTCGCGAGTGGATGCTTGCCATAACTACTTCGAGCCATTGATTCGTGCCGACGTTGATTCACGATCGACCATGCGTTGGTGGATGTGGACATTGCGGCCTGGTGACTGAGCTCGCTGTGTGGAGAAGGAGGAGCACGAGTGACCCTGAGGGAGCAGCGGCGGGGGCCTGGCCCTAAAGCCCTCGGGGATCCCCCAGGGAAGCAGCGATGGGCTCCTGGCCCCAATGCCACAAGGGGGCCGGCGCCTGTCCCTGCGGACCCCTGGACAAACTCCTCTCCTGGGAGGCCCAGAACGAAGCGGGGTACAGTGTCCCCGCGCGCGAGCGCTGCGGCCCTGTGCAGTGGGCTCCAGATGCGGTGAAAACGAAGCGAAACGAAGAAGGGAGAGGGGGAGGGAGGCAGGGAAAAGAGGCTGGGGGACAAAGATTCAAACAACAACTCAAAACAATGGGGGGGCGGAGAGAACCGAACAGTTGCTGCGCTCCCTCCCACGCCCCGCGAGGGCCACAAAGTCCGCGGGGAACACCCTCGAGAGGCTGAGGAAGATCTCGTCCGCGGGGTTGAAAATCTGTCGCTCCTGTTGCGAGGAGGGACAATGCGGGCCAGGGCGAGGCGGGAGGGGGAGGGATCGGGAGGCATCGCCCAGAATCTCTTCGTGGAAACGATCGGGGGCTGTTCGGCCCAACCGATGGGCTACCAGGCCGCGGGATTAGGCCAGAGTAAGACGGCTTTCGACCGCGGATATACAAGCGCCGATGCCGAGTTCAACCTCCAAAGAGTTGTAACCGGGCCTAGGGAGGGGAGAGCCCTAGGCCTGATGGGCGCCACGGAGGGGCTTCAATAGATGCGAGTCCAACTGCCCGCGGGTTACAGGGAACTAATAATTAGCACTTGCCATCCCATGATTTGCGGCTTATGGCTGCCCCAAGAATCACTTCACATGCGAATCTAATGAAACTAAGCAGCCGTCTGGGAGAAGAGAGAAGGCCGAGAAGAAAAAAACACCTGTTCTAGAATTCTCGTATTATTCTTGATGCACCCGTTACTGGCCTCCACCCCCCCCTGGTAGGTAACGTCACGATTCGTGCCAGCGCTGTCTGGGAATGCCTGGGATTCCCGCGATTCCCCAAGCATTCCCAGACGGCGCCAGCGCGAATCGTTATGTTATCAGTCCCCTCCCCCCCCCCTCCCCGGTAACGCACGTTATCGCTAGGAGGTGAAAAGTAAAGCTTCCTGTCGAAAAGAGGAGGAGGGCGAGAAGGAGCGCATAAGAGGAGGGCTGTGGGAAGGGCCGCCGCGGTGGGCCCCGGCGTGCCCCGCCGGCTGAGCCGGAAAAAACTGCGCAACAACGGCGCCTGAAGTAGGAAAGGACAACATCCCCCCCCCTCCACCCCCAGGCCTCAACTTTGCGCTCGAGATGTCGGGTTCAAAATTTGTCCGGCCCCCCTTCTCCAGGAACGCTTGTTCGATATCCAGGGGGCTGAGGGCCAGGCTTGTTCGACAGCAAAGTCGCATGCCCCCGCGAACGGCTCGCTGCCCACGTCCGCAAAACCCATAAGCAACACCATCGAAGCCCCAGAAACCCGAGGCACCCTAGAGGCAAGCGGGGTGTTTCTTGCCACGGGCCTCCACTGCAAATCTACGTGGGTACAGTTGCGAATCGGGCGTTGGCAGAAGTGGGTTTAGAGTGACCTGGTTTAGTGACGTGTACTGGGGGGGCGCCCCCAAGGCCCCGTTCCACTAACCAGAACTGCCGTCACACGAAAAACACCAGCCACGGCAGACCTGGTTCAATGATCCTGGCCAATTCAGGGGATCTGGGGCCCCACTGCTGACCGGGTCCCCTTGACTGGGATCCTGGCTATACCCGAGCGTATCTGTCCTCACACGCAAGAACAGCCGCCCGTGCCGCAGCAGTTCGCGCCCCCCTCAGAGGCGACGACATGGGCGGATAGCCCAGCGTAGAGCAATACATGTACTCAAGTGCGCCGATGATCTGTGTCTTCGAGAAGGCTCCCGGGCGAATACGTGTAATGCCCGCCCCTGGGCTATTCGCCCCTATTGTCGCCGCCGACCCCCCGAAGAGTCGCGCAGTGCAGCACGCCGAGCAGCACGCGCCTCAGGAGCGACGGCACCGCTCGCCGCCGACCCCTCCGCGCCAGGTCCACTTGTGTGGGCGGCCCGTGCAGAGGGGTTGGGGGAAAGGGAGGCGCGGGGGGGGAGGGAGGAGGAGGAGGAGGAGGAGGAGGAGGAGGAGGAGAAGGAGGAGGAGGAGGAGGAGGAGGAGGAGGAGGAGGAGGAGGAGGAGGAGAGGAGGGAAGCTACTTCTTAGAAGGCGCCGGCTTTACATGTATAGACACAGCCCTCGCCATCTTTTTTGTTTTGGGGGGGGGGAGAAGAAAGGATGAATCCGCTGCGGCCATCCAAGAGGAACACCCAGGCGAACTCGACGACAGGGCAGGGACGACAAAAACTTGGAGAGGCTCCGGTCTCGAGGGAGACCAAAAGGCGACTGACACGAAATTGCCCCAAAAACGTATTGGGTCGCTGTTGCAAGCGTTGTGTCATGACCCCTACAGCATTGCCTAAACGCGCAGACGGGGGGTAGTAGGGGGAGGGGGGAATGCTTCTTAGAGGGAGGCTGCTTCTCAGAAGGCGCCGGCTTTAAATCTTCAGACAGAGCCGGCGCCTTCTAAGAAGCAGGGGTGCTTCTGAGAAGCCTTCCCCCCTCCCCCTACCCCCCTCTGCGCGTGGCCGAGCTTACTCCAGCTCAGAGGCCCAGAAGGAGCAAGCCAGGCACCCTGGCGACGCTGGTTTGGGCCGTGGGAGCGGGCACGGCAACTGACCCTGGCGCCACTCCGAGCCCCGTCGGCCTGGACTGGCCTTGGCAAGGGCCGTGCGGTCAGGAGCCAGGCAGGGCGATCAGCAAGGAGGCAGGCTAGTATAAAGAGAGCAGCGCCGGTCCGAGAGCCAGATGGCAAGCTGTCAGGCAAGACCCGAGGCAGGCCAGAAGGAAAATTAGAGGCATGGGAGCAAGCGAAACGCCTGCTAGAGCTGGAACCAGTCAACGGATGTCACGTGATCCTCCCACCAAATCACATGTTTGACGACGCTAACATGGAACCAAATTAAAGCCGCAAAGCGGGCGAGGGAAACCAAATAATTGCCAGGAAAGCGGGGATCCAAGCAGCCCCAGGGACAGCTGGGGACGTGGGAAGCCATCCGAGGAGCCGAAGGACCGTCGTCGTGGGAACAGAAGTACGCCAGTGTTGGTCGGATAATCGGATCGAGATCGAGCCCAATCGGTCGGCTGGCCGATCTTTCAGTCGGTCGAGGCGGTCGGGCTGGCAGGCTGCGAGCCTACTAAGACGCGAAGCCCGACATTCCTACAAGCTCTCTGGGCGTAGGTGATTTAAAGAGCGCGTATTCTCTTTTTCTCTGCAAGCCCCTTACCCTGCTCGGGGGAGGGGTTTATCACTGTTTTCCATTGATGTACACCCCCTCCCCCACCCGGCCGGCGGCCAACCGGGAACCATGCCGACCCCACCAAGGCCACCCCCCCACCATCCCTAAATCATACAAAACGCACTCTGCCTCCACATGTGAAACATACGCGGCCAACCCGATGCGGCCTCCACACCATCCCTGTCAAAAAACTGAACCTGACGAAGGACCCAACCAATGCAACTGCGAGTGCCGCATTGTGGGTACCGCTTTCGGTGGAGCTCCCTATGGGGACACGAAGCGTGCGAGGGGTGCGCCGAAATCGGTGGCGCGGACGCATTCGGACCCTGCCACTGGGGCCTTCGATGGAGCTCCCTATGGGGCCACGAAACGCTGTCATGGGTGGCGGTGACGCATGCGAACCCTGCCACTGGAGCCTTCGGTGGAGCTCCCTATGGGGCCAGAAAGCGCTGTCCTGGGTGGTGGTGACGCACGCGGACGCTGCCACTGGAGCTTTCGGTGGAGCTCCCTATGGGGCCACGAAACGCTGTCCTGGATGGCGGTGATGCATGCGGACCCTGCCACTGGAGCCTTCGGTGGAGCTCTCTATGGGGCCACGAAACGCTGTCCTGGGTGGCGGTGACGCATGCGGACCCTGCCGCTGGAGCCTTCGGTGGAGCTCCCTATGGGGCCACGAAGCGCTGTCCTGGGTGGCGGTGACGCATGCGGACCCTGCCACTGGAGCCTTCGGTGGAGCTCCTTATGGGGCCACGAAGCGCTGTCCTGGGTGGCGGTGACGCACGCGGACCCTGCCACTGGAGCCTTCGGTGGAGCTCCCTATGGGGCCACGAAGCGCTGTCCTGGGTGGCGGTGACGCATGCGGACGCTGCCACTGGAGCCTTCGGTGAAGCTCCTTATGGGGCCACGAAACGCTGTCCCGGGTGGCGGTGACGCATGTGGACGCAACCACTGGGGCCTTTGGTGGAGCTCCCTATGGGGCCACGAACCGTGTGAGGGGTGTCCCGTAATGCGTGACGGTGACGCATGAGGACGCAACCACTGGGGCGTTCGGTGGAGCTCCCACGAACCGTGTGAAGGCTGTGCCGAATTGGGTGGCGGTGACGTGGTGGAGCTCCCTATGGGGCCACGAACCGTGTGAGGGGTGTCCCGTAATGCGTGGCGGTGACGCATGAGGACGCAGCCACTGGGGCCTTCGGTGGGGCTCCCTATGGGGCCACGAACCGTGTGAGGTGTGTCCCGTAATGGGTGGCGGTGACGCATGAGGACGCAACCACTGGGGCGTTCGGTGGAGCTCCCTATGGGGCCACGAACCGTGTGAGGGGTGTGCCGAACTGATGATGATGGTGATGATGAAGATGACGATGATGATGGTGCCGGTGATGCTGATGATAGGGGGGAGGGAGGGGGGGCAGCGGGAGGAGGAGAAGGAGAGACGCGCGGTGCTGTCTCTTCAAAACGAGGACCCAACACCACAGGACGGTTGGGAACAATACAATTTGGGGCAAGCTCTCGGGTCATGTTCGTGAGGCCCGCGAGCACTTTGTATTGTTTTTGACAGGGACGGCGGGGGTGTCAGCACATTCCCTGCTGTACGCAGAGCTACCATGCCTGGCAAACAAAATGCACCTCGCGGCTAAATCTGGACCATGCGCGGCCACCCCGCGATCACTGTCAAGTGATTTGACAGGGGCGGCGGGGGTGGCGGCGCGCGGCCTGCTGTGCGCAAGCCTACCAGACACAATGATTGGCATTGGCTTTCGACAAGGATGGTGGGGTCCGACATGTTTCCCGATGTGTGCTGTCCGTGCGCAGGCGTGCCTGACGCACTCTGCACGTGCCCCGAACGTGGCGAACCCGGCGCGGCTGGAGTGTGCGGCACACCTGGCGCACTCGGAGCACGTAGCGCATCTGGCGCACCAGGCGTGCCTGGCACGCTCGGGCCCCAGGGGTGCCTGGCGCGCGTGGCGCCCCTGGCACGCGTGGCGCACCTCGCCCAAGCGTCGTGCACCTGGGGTCGGCTTTGGTTCCCAGTAGCTGTCCATCCAAAGACGACCGCTAAACATGCTCAGGCTCGGTGTGACTTATGTGTTGGGGGGGGGGCTTGACCCCTCCCCATACTCCTCCCCTGGGCCTGGGAGGGGGGGGGTGCGCAAGGCGCCCGAGCCCCCAAGACAACCCAAGATGGCTCCAAGAGGGCCTCAGAGAGCCCAAGATGGCCTCCAAAATGGCTCAAAATATCTCAAGATCGTTAAAGATAGTCCCCGGCACACATAAAAAAAAACTCAAGACGGCCCCAATACGGTTTGAAGTGCCCCCCGAGCCCTCCCAGGATCTCCCCGAGGAGGCCAAAATGGCTCCAAAACCGACCTATGGGAAATCAGTGTGTTGCCTTCTCGCCTTGTCGCTTCCGATGCGCTCTTGCGGCCTCAAGATGGCCCCACGACGGCCCAAGAGAGACCCAAGCGGGGACCAAGAAGGCCCCAAGAAGGCTCCAAGAGCGCCCAAAAGTGCCCCCAGAGGGCCCACGACGCCACTTTTGAGCATCCGAGGGGGGGGGGGCTGAATTAGCTGTTCACCCTCTGTTTGACCAATGGGGGCCACGATAGCCCCAAGAGGCCTCCCAGACCCCTCCAAGGAGCCCTGAGAGGGCCCCCCGAACCCCCAACATGAGCCCCAAGAGGGCCCCAAGACTGCTCCAAAAGGCCCACAAGGGGGCCGCAAGAGAGCCCCTAAGATGGCCTTCGTCGTCATTCAAGAACCTCTCACAACAACATACCTCCAAAGCCCGACTTCGCATCCTCCGTGTCATTTTCCGTTCCTTCCCTCCTCCTTTCCTGTCTCCTCCCTCCTCCTCCTCCTCCTCCTCCTCCTCCTCCTCCTCCTCCGTATCTTCCTCCTCATCATCTTCCTCGTGCCGCATTCCTCCTCCTCCTCCTCATCCTCCTTCACCTTCTCCTCTTCTTCCCCCTCCTCATCCTTCTCGTTTTTTGTTCATCCTCCTCCTCGTTCTCCTCCTCGTTCTCCTCCTTGTTCTCCTCCTCCTCCTCCACCTCCTCTTCCTCCTGCTACCCCCAAGATGGTCCCAGGAGGTCGAAAATGGCTCAGCATAGCCTCCGACAGACCTCCAAAAGGCATCAATATCACCACAAGACCGTCCAAGATAGCTGATCTTGGCTCAACATAGCATCCGACTGCCTCTAGCCGAACATGACTCACGATAGCCTACAAGAGACCGCCAGAAGGCCTCCGATCGTGTCTGGATGGGCTGGTGGGAATATGCGAAGCGTCAAGAGTTGGGAGAGCGCAACAAACAAATCACAGCAACTGGTGCAGACCAAGACAAACTAAGAATTGGGCTCGAACCGCACACAGGTCGTGGCGAATTCTCGTCTGCTGTTCGAGCATTGGCTCCTGGATGTGCAGGCCAAACCTTGGCGTCGGTTAGTCTGGCCTCAAGGTTCCAGCGTCGAAGCCTTGTAAATGTCAAAACGTCCTGGAGTTGTGAATCGATGTTGTATTCTCTGGGGCTGCCCCATCGAAACTACATCAGAAACAACAACACATATCACAACATCGGCCAGGACCAGGACCGTGTTTGTCCCTATCCCCTTCCTTCTCTTCCCCTCTTTCTCCTTCTCGTCCTGGAGGAGACAAGGGGAAGGGAGATACTGGATATGATTGCCCGTGAGAACTGTACGCGGCAGGCGATGAGCAGGGGGGCGCCTTCAGAGTGAAGCCGCAGCTCCAGCCGCAGGAAGAATATAGCAGCCTGCAATGGTGGTCGCCCCTCCTCTCCCCGAATCCGCCGACCATGTCGGAATGTGAAGACGCTCTTCCGTTCGTCGTCGTCGTCGTCGTCGTCGTCGCCGCCGCCGCCGCCGTCGCCGCTCAGAGGCCCCCCCGTCCCGGGGCCCTCCTCCTCAAGGGGGCGCCATCCACAGCGAAATTGAGCAGCAAAGTCGCAGTTGAGTCGAAAGAACTTCCATTTGATCTCTTACCCCCCGCGCTGGGGAGGTCCCAGGGGGGTCCTGAAGGGGAGCCGGGGGGTGGTCCCAGGGGAGACCTGGGGCGCCCCCCAAGTTGCACCCCCCCTGCTCCCCTCAAAGAAGGGCGAGAGACCCCCCCGGTCCGAACCAATCCCCCCTTGCAATTCAGAAGGGTGTGTGGGGGGGAGTCTGGTTCGAACCCCCGGCCCCCCGCCAGTCCGACCCCCCCCCAATTTCACCTTGGAGAAGGGCGCCCCCCCGGTTCGAACCCAACTCCCCTTCACAGCGTCTACAAAGCGCGGTCTTTCACAGATGGGGATCTCCGCGTCGAATCGTTAAGCGAGCACGGCGAGGCCAAGCCGCCCCAAGACCCTGATAGGGCTGCGCGCTGCACTGAACAGCCTCCCCCGCCCCTCCCCTCCCCCCATCTTTCCCCGCATCGCGCGCATCACACACGGTCTTGCACGATCGCGCGTACATACTGGGCTCGGCGTCCTTTGACGCACATTGACGAATACGTCCCCGATTCCCCCTGGCAGGGACATGTGACCTCCTATTTAGAAGCTAGCGCCAGGCATCGCCCCTGCAATCCTGCTCAGTCGGCAACAGCTGGTGACACTCACAACTGCCGTGCCTCCAGCGGCGGCGGGGCCGCTCATGTCTCCCGGCATGCGGACTTGAACTTGAGTTGTCGCACGAGCAGCATTGAACTGCACTTTGGGCCGACGCCATCTCCTGTGCCAACGCGGACGAATCCAGCGCCGTGCCAGCGATCGCCCAACGCGCGTTCTCTCTTGCATTGCCGAAATCCCTATGTTTATTGAAGTGTTTCGTCCCTTCCATCCGGGCCCTCGGCGCGACCTCGCGGTCTCAAGCAGCCCATGAAAAGCCACCCGAACATGCGACGTTCCACCCTCGTTTCGGAGGCAGTCTGACCATTCAATCGGCTTCGCGGCGCCGATGGTCTTGCGCGCCCCACGCACTCCAGGCGTTGCTTTTTGGCCGAAGTGGCCACCAGTCTGACACCCCATCTGGCGCGACTGCGAACCAGATGAAGCTACGCAGATGAACGCGGCAACCGCATCACGAAGTCCGCATCTGAATTCTCTCCTCCCCTCACGTCCTTCGATATCAAACATTTGTCGATGCCCCACTACGTGTCAAGTGATAGCACCCAATGAAGCTCGTGCGCGGACTCCACGCGCGTCCGCGTTCCCCCTGCACCATCAGCCTGCTCGCCTCGTAGTCTCCACGCGTCAACTCCACTCTTCCTGATTACCGCTCTGGTCCCCATCTGACTTCCAAGACAACCGCCCAAACGGGCGTCGCCGATTCAAAACATCGGCCGGCCCTGTCCACGCACGGAAATTGCCCAGCCAGCCCCGCCAGGATGGCTTTACAGAGCTGGTTCGGACACATACCTGATATTGCAAGTCGCCCCCCCTCTGCCAACTCCCCACGTCAGCGCTGCCCATCAGCGCGCCCCGCTTTCGGATGAACCGACGCGCCGCGCACTGACAGCGAGCCTCCATCTTCCGCAAGTCATAGCAGCCCGCGCGCCCCCCGCATGCCGTCGCGCACCTTCACAGCAACATGGTCTGCGCGGCGGCCGCGCCCCAACTGGGCGCCCCTGCCGGCCCTTTCAATCAGAAGCCCACAGCTATGTCCAGGCAGGCAACACTGGCAACGCGAAACATCGCTTCTGGTGAACATGCCAACGAATCAGCTGCTCTGCCTCGCACGAATCCGCGCACAGCAAATTCCGAGTTCCATGTTACAGCATTCCCTTGATTCTACATGGTCCCGACCCCTTACTGCCGACGGCCTGGAATTCGCGGAACGCCGCGCACATCGGACAGGCGATAAACATCACCACTGCTCTGGACATCCTTATTCAACGTCTGACATGCGCCTCCGCGTGCAGCGTCATCCCCTCGGATTTCTGCGCTGATCACACGGCGGCAAGTCAATGCGCTGGGACTCGCTCCTGGGCTAGAACCTTGGACTCGCGCGTGGATTAAATCCAGGTGCGCCCCCCGTGCTGGCTGCAGTTCCTGCGACTCGCATGGATAAAGATGCTTCGCCAGCGCGAGGCTGGGCAACTCCCCCACTTCGTCGCACAACATCGAAGCCCCCGTGCTCCCACAGCACCCCCACCCATCTCCCATTATGTTCGATCCGCTCGGTTTGTCAAGCCTCCCCAGATAACTTGCATTGGCTCATCTTTTAACTTCAGTCCTGGAGTCCTGGGGGCGCATTCCTCCTCGTCTTGAGAACCAAGCTGCTCGCCCGTGTTTCCTGATTGCTGAAGCTAGGGACTCGTGGAGCACATGGCCCGCCATGAATCGCTTCGCACGCTCACAGGCCCGCCCAACCAACGCAAAACGGGCCCATTCACTCCTGACCGGAGTCTGCGAGTCCCAGGCCGACGGCGAACCAACCGATCCCCCCTCGCCTCGCAGCGCGGCGCGTCGTCAAATAGCCGCATAGAACATCGGAGCAACAATGCGTTCCGAGCCCAGGCGCAGTTCCGGCCAATGTCGGCGCAGACCGATGACTGTGTTTCCCCTAACCGCATCACCCTGGAGATCGTGGCGATGGGTTAGCTGGCTTACGCCTCTTGCGGTCGCCCCCCCGTTGCTCCCCCCTCGCTCCTCAGACACCTAGGATGCGCGGGCGATGATTCGATTGCACTTTGGGACGCTCGTCTTAGCAATGCTACGATATCACGGAGCCATCTCGGCAGTCAGAGCCACGCAGCTCGCGGCGCGCGCCCCCGCGCGTCGTCGCCCCGCGCCAATGGCGGCCTGGCGACGCGCCAAATCGGACGCGCACTGGTCTTTTTTATCTGCGAAACCTCTAGGTTACTGTCATGATCAAGTCCGCCCATGTATGATAAGCCCCAGGCCCTGGTCCTAGCAGCGGCGAGCGCGCGCGCGGGGCTGGACATGGCTGCCTGCCGCGCTGGAGACTGGCTGCCACGGGGTGACCCTAACTGCGCTGACCTCCTGCCCTGGCCTTGGTTTCTCAGCCGCCGCACCTCTCGCGCGCCGCTTCGCCGCTGGCGTCGACGGCGCGCGCGTGCATGTCCGATCCCGCGCGAGAGACCACCCGCTGAATTTGTACGCAGGTTTTCGACTGAAGCCCACCTTGAAAATGGCGCACAACGCGATGCAAAGCGCCGGGATAAATGCTTCGATCGCGCGATTATCTGGATGTTTCTCGTTCGCGGAAGGACCCTTTCATCGGGCCATCCTACAACCCCATGTCTGGGCCACTCGCCGTCTCAACGGAGCTCTTCAACGCGGCAAATAAATTGCAAACCTACCTGGCAAACGATGAGATTCCACAAATCTAGCTGCGCAACTTCTCGGGCGTCTCTCGATGGGCCCTGCTCTGGGCCAACCTGGCCCGACGCCATTGCAAAACACATGTAAGACTTCATGGCGTCTAACTTCGCCGCCCCCATCCCGCGGGAACGCGCAACCTACGCATGCAGCCCGCATTCTTGCGTCGCCCCCTCGCCGAGCTGTCTCACCATATCTGCTTAGCAATCCCCGAGGCAATAGACAGCGCCAGCTTCGGCGCGAAACACGGCTCTGGCCGCGCGCGCCCACCCCCTCTTTCGATGGACGAGCGTCGCGCTATCTCCGTTCAACTCCATCAACTTCCCCGCCCGCAGACGCATCCACGACCACCCCATCCCGCTCGCGCCCTCCCTTTTTCAAATGGGCCAGTTCACCCACGCAAAAGAACTGCGTTGTAATCGGAAGACACAAGCATCTCCAGTCCTACTCGACCAGGCCCTCCAGGAAGGTTCCTGGCCTCAGAAATACCGCGCCAAACCGCCGATCGCAATGTTCCGCCACGTCCAACTTGGCCCCACGCGTGATCTGGCCCCGCTTGTTTCGCGCTGCAAGTGCATGAGGGGCCTGCCGCGCTCGTTCTGACCCAGCGCAGCCCCGCTGCATGCGCCGACCAGCGCACGGGCTGAGACTCGCACTTTCCTCGAGCCTGGCTCGGACTAACGAGGCGATCGATGTTCCTGCTTCGCCGTTCCAACTAGCGCTCGCTGTCCGCGGCCCCCGAGAACCAATCTACTCGCAGCCTTGCAACGCCGACTCGCCGCGGCGCCTCCGCCGTTGCCCGCTCGATCGAAGAAGCGAGCGCCGGCGCTGGGAGGCCCATCTCTGCCTCTGACTCTACAGTCGCCGAGACTGGCTCCGAACTTGCGTTCGGATCATCCTCGAGCACTGCGTTGCTCTCGCTGCGCCTGGTCGATCTTGATTGACGATCACTCCGCGCGCCTCTGTATCCATGAACTTCCATGATGTTTCACACCCCCGTTGATACTCTCTCCCCAGTCGGTCGCGAAACGGCTGTCGACGCGACGGCTCGCGCGGCACTTGCGCCGCGGTCGCCACTCCTCGAGCGCGCGCGCATCGCAATCCTCTCTTTCCCACAGCGCGACTTCTCCCGCTCGCCGTTTCGTCGCCGCAGACGGCGACGGCCTCCGCGGTCGGCGCGGGCCCTCCCAGCGCGCTCGGGGACAGCTGGCGGCGACGCGGTTTTTGTCCGCGCGGCGAACCCCCCCCTTGGATTCCACTGCGTTGTCGCCGCCGCCGCCGAAAGCGCCCTTGCAACTGCAGGTTGCGTGACTTGCGCGGACCTGTGGCCCCCCTTTCGCGCGCCCCCTGGCAAGCCCCCTTCCTGCGGGACAACCATTTCCACTGCCCGCGCCGTTCCGCGCCGCGCGGCCGCGCCCCCCGCGGAAGCGACGCCG